CAAAAGTCGAGGGTTGCGCACATACGCATTAATGATTAATTTTCCGGAGAGATCCTCAATTCCTCGAAAGGTGGGAACTGTTATTCAACGATAACACTGTTTTGGATAGGAAACGGAAATCGGTATCCTTCCCCCCCCCCTCCAGATTACTGGTGGCCCTGCGCCAAATTGGGACGTGGGAATAGGTACGCCTTGAAATTATGCGCGAGGTCACCTATAACAGAGGTGTCATTACTCCTGTGTCTAACCCTGTTTTTAGTCGTGCGCGACGGCTAAACACAGTTGGTGGAAAACCGTAAAAAGACCACTAGGTATTAAACAGTGAGCATTAAATAATAAATCGATATTCTACGCGGCAAGGATACGAGGTCCGAGTAACTCCAATGCTGAGGACACGCTTAGTACGTGGTTACCAACCTTCCTGGCGCATCTAAAATGCACAGAGAAGGGAAAATACATGAAGAATTCTGTATATAGAAAAAGTATAGGGGGTTCGGAGTTGGTTGTATAAATTCAAAAAGTAATACAACATGCACCTTAAAATGCTAGTAAAATTCCGTTTTGTCAAATCGTAGCATAACTGCTCAGTTCGACTGTCGCGAACAAAGATGTGTACGTTGCGCCCCATAGTAGGGTGGGGACACACAAACGATGACATTCGCGTGAATTAGTTCATCGTGATAATATACGTGCGCCACATCTAGTTCCCTTTCCTCCTTCCCCACGCGGGTCTGGCTAAGTCCAGAAGACTGGAGGCGAGATCCGACAGAGTGGCTTGCAAGACTAAAATAGTCCGTCTATGCTTACCACACACACACACACCCATGTGCCTAGTGCTCACAAGACGGGCTAGGCATTCGCCGAAACGGGAGAGAAAGTTCGTACGCCAACTGAATGGGAGCGTCATGGAGGTCACCTTAGGAAGAAGCCATTGCAGCCTGATTTTGCGTCCCGAGAGAAGGACCGAGTTAACCCGCACTTACACGGACTTGTTACGGCTGTGATCATGCCTGATCTAGCCAGACTCAATGATTTCACGGACAGTACTCCTCCACACGTGACGAGAAGTGGCATCTGACCTAGAAAGCTCCACTCATTCTCTTCTCCAGCGACGGAGACCGAAAACTGGACAACCAAGAACCGCTGCCATGTCTTGACGAACGGTGTCAAGGCAGGTCTTTAGTTGCTCCCCTCTTCTACGTCTCCAGGTGGGCTGCGGCGCCGGATCGAGGGCAGCATAGCAAAGCTCGTGGGGTGGACGATGGAGAACGTGCCCAAACTACCTCAGTCGCCTTTCTTGAGTAGCCTGAGATATCCTCGCGATACTATCGAACGAGTGCGAACTGTCTTATTCGAGATGAAGTTGGTAAACTTAACTTGTAAGATGGTTCTCAGACAGCGGTGGTCAAATACCTCCAGCCTTCGCTCATTTTCAGCGCGGAAAGCCCAGCGTTCACATCCGTAGAGGAGCATTGACCAGATGGATGCATGG